TGCAGGCAAGTGACATTTCTAGGCCAGAGGCTTTGGGGAACTTTGACAGGGCGCACGTGCATTCACCACAGAGAGACGGAGAGAGGGGCAGTAAGAAGTCATCCCCCAGGGGGAGATGGCCACATCAAGATCCCTTCTCCATTTTCTTCTTGGGATTTTGGGCATGGCATGATTTTCAAGCTTCTGGGTCCGGGACTCGAACTGCTATGGACCACATGAGGTCCAGTGCCTTAACCACCAATGTCGCCTGCTGACCCCAAAGGCCAAGACTTTTTTTTAGAGAGGTTTTTGCTATAGTGCGTGTGTGTTCGCCAGAAAGAGAGAAACAGAGACAGAAAGCGAGAAATCACCGCGGGGGGTGTGGTGGGCATGACATAAGCACTTAACTCCTCTCGGGATCTTGGGCACGCACGCACACGCACCTGGCGTGAGTTTAAGCCACCGGGTTCTGGACTTGAACCGCAGTCGACTACATGGGAGTCTAGCAACATAGCAATTACGCCAGCTGCTGGTCTCCCCCAAAGGCCAAGGCTTTTAACCGAGACAGCTACTCCAAAACAGGGCCCTCCCCTGTGCTCGCCTCCAGCCGCCTTGGCCACGCGTGGCGGGGTGGGGGAGGGGTGCAAACTCCTGGGCACTGGTTGTCCTTCTCGGTGCCGGTGCCCCCGCTGGCTTCGACCTTCCCCGCCTGCTCTTCTCTGTCCCCAGAATGGTCTGTTCTTTCCTGCCGCAGAGCCTCTGCCAGGGATCCCAATGACTCCCCACCCCAGAGTGTCCTGCCGCAGGATCTTGCTCTAGGACCTCCCCTGATCCAGCAGGTCCCTGGCCCCCCAGGCCCAGTCCCTCCCCATCCACCTGGCTCCCCACAGACCCTGTGGCCCTGGCATTGTTGCTGGGCAGTTGGAGAGAGGTCAGGACACTTCAGCTTTGGGAAGTGGGGGGCCCGGTGTCCCCTCGCCTCCTCCTGGTGAGACCTTGGCCTGATCAGGGTCACTCAGGGCTGTGACCTCCTCTTCTCCCCTGAAGAAGGTCCCGCAGAGCCTTGGAGTCACGGTGCAGTGGAGGGAGGGCAGGGGCTTGGGAGGGAGTGAGCGGTGGTGGTCAGTGTGACCCAAACCACCTAGTGTGAGTCCCACAGTGGACAGGGTGCCGTGGAGTGGAACTAAGCCCACGTGGCCACCGTGGCTGTGTCCGGGACACAGGCTAGCACTTGGGCTCCGATGGGCTGAGGCAAGGAGGGGACCGTGTCGTGCCAGCCCCTGTGGAAGGCAGTTTCTCTTCCCGCTGCGCACGCGTACGTGTGCTCTGTCATGAGTAAGGAAGGAGAGAGAGCGCACGCCCAGCACTGCGTGGGGCCTCGCTGCACCTGCTGAGGGGTGGTGCGTGGGCTCTGACGGAGCCAGGGAGCGAGACCCAGCCGGATCGGAGGGCAGGTCTGGCCCCGCGCCCTCACCGCAGCACGTAACTCTCAAGTTGCTCCTCTTGAGGCCCGGCTTGCTCGCTGTGTGGTACGGAGGAGAAGTAGTGGGGCCAGCAGGTGGCGTGGTAGTTAAGGACGCTGGACTAACACATGGCCGACGGCGGTTCAAGTCCTGGACCTGGCAGCTTGCTAGCTCACTTTCTGTCCCTCTCTCCCTCCTCCTCTCTGATAAAATTAAAAATAAATAAATAAAATTAAGTAATAATAAAAATGACGGGGCCAGCAGGTGGCATGGTGGTTGAGGGCACCAGACTCCCACCTGGCTGACTGTGGTTCAAGTCCTATACCTGGCGGCTTGCTTTCTCGCTTTCCCTCCCTCTGTCTCTGTCTCTCTCAGTCTGTCCTTCTCTGGTCGAAATTTAAAAAAAAATAAATTTAAATAAAATAATTCTTAAAAAATAATTTTAAAAGGATAAATTAAATTAAAAAGAAAAAAAGATGACCCACAGACCCCAGGTACCTGGCAGCTCTGAGCAGGGTCAGTCTGGAGTCAGCACGGAAGCTCCGCAACAGGTGTCACCCTGGCACCTCCGCTGGCCTCCCTGTCGCGCGATGGGTCCCTGAGGATGGGCAGTAGCCAGGCCGGGGGGGGCACCCAGTGACTCCGCCCCGGTCGTCCTGCCCCCACACCCTTCCAGAATTCGGGGGCGTGGCGGCGCACATCTTCCAGGCCGGCACACCTTCCAGGTATGGCGAGGAGCTGAGGGCTCCTGCTGACAGCCAGCACCGGCACAAGCGCATCCGGATCCCGTGCCCACCGAGCCTTCCAGCCGCCATGGGCCTGGCTGACAGACGCTCCGAAGCCAGCGCTACAGAGACCCTGAGCCGGAAGCACGAGGCCGCGCTGCCCCAGCCCCGACCAGGGACACTGTGGGATGGTGACCGGAGTGCTTGCAGCTGCTAAGTGTCAGGTGCTTTGTCACACGCAATAGCTAACTGATACAGGGTGCTTCTGGGACTGGAGGCGTAGAGAAAAAGCTTCCACAAGGACAATATTCGGGGGGAAAGAGCGAGGGGTGAGGAGTCCAAGAGGTACCTGGTTACCACGGTCAATCACGCTTCTTGCCAAGCGTTGCCCAGCCCTGCCCGCCTCCTCGGGTCCCCACGACACGGCACTTTCCAGCCACACAGCCGTTCTGGAAGCACCCCGTTGTCTCTTCCGGCCCCTGCATGCACCAAAAGGCTCTCTTTTCACCTTGCTCTGGTAGTCATCCTTCTACCCAAGCGAGTGCTCACCTCCCACAGGAAGCCGGCCCCACAGACTGTGAGCTCCCCCAAATGGGCACAGGGTCCGTTTTGCTTCAGCTGCACTCTGGAACCTGCATCGGGCGTGGCATGGCAGTGGCCGTCCTAGTGCTGCAGCAATAAATTACTCTCTGGCATAGAGGTTTACTCTCGCCCAGTTCTGGAGGCCGGAGTCCAAAACCAGGTGGCGGCAGGCCGCAGTCCCTCCAGAGGCTCAGGACAGAATTTGGCTCCTGGCCCTCCCACTGCTGTTGGCCCGGGCGCCGCACCTTCAGGGCCGCATCAACCAGCTCTCTACTCTGACTCCGACTGTCCCTTGTCTCCCTGCGTCTCCCCTCCATGAGGCTACGTTGCTGCTGCTGCCTTCGGGCATGTGTGCTCGCCAGAGAGAGAGATTACCCCACACGGGGATGGCCACCCCGTAATCCCTCCTGCATCGTCCTGGGGTTTTGGATATGCACACACACATGCCTTGCATGATTTTCAAGCAGCCAGGTCCGGGACTCGAACCATGGGTGTCCATGTGGGAATCGAGCGCCTTAATGGCCAAGCCACCTGCTGGTCCCACCCCTGAGGCTCTTACAAGGACACTTGTTATTAGACCTAAGGCCCAGCCAGGGAATTCAGGAGGATGCTGGAGTTACTCAGCCAGACGACAGCTGCCAAGACTCTTTTCCAAATAAGGTCCCAACCCTCAGGTTTGGGGGTTCACACATTTGGGAGCTGCTGTCCAGCCCAACACAGGCAGCCTGGTGCTTCAGACACCTCGAGACCGTCTCATCACAAACTGAATTCTGGGAAAAACGAACTTCCCCAGACCCTGGGCAGTGGCAGAAGTCCCCACAGACCTGCACCGAAAGGAGCCAACACTTGAGACCCCGTCAGCGCCTGTCGCCCAGGGGCAGGAAGGGCCCGGCGGCAGAAGCAGACCTCTCCATCACCCGGGGCTTAGAGCCGCAGAGTCCCACAGATGAAGGCCCAGCAAACGTGGGCTCGCACTGAGGTTGATGCGCGTGGGCGGGAGGACCCATCGCGAGTTGGGAAGACACAGCTTGGTGGCCCCCGTGCACAGGGGGATGCCCGAGGCGGCCTGCGTGCTCCTGCCGTGCGAACCTATGACGAGCTGTCACTCGGCTAGGCGCAGGGAGAGGTGAGCAGCAGGCCAGGAGGACAGGACACCGGCAATAGACCGTGCAATGGTCACGCGGACCCACAGAGCCCCTCGCTGTGGCAGATCTCAGCGACCTCGGCGCAGCGCCTGCTCTTCCTGGACTGGGCCAAGAACGTCCACCTCTCAGCGGAAGGACACTTCTTCCGTGCACCCTTGCCTGCGGCCTACGGCCAGGGTGCACGGACTGTAGTGCTGATCTGATCGCCCGGACGGCGGGGCGACCGGCGGGCCTGCGTGGGCGTGCTGGGAGGGGCCTGAGTCACGTCCTCGCAGGCCAGGCAGGACAGCGGGAGATTTCATCACGCCACTTGGAACAGCAAGCGGTTTGATAAGTCCGAGTCGTTTATTCTGGAATTTTCCATTCAGTATATCTGGGCTGTGGTTGACCTCAGTAACTGCAGCAGTAGAAAATGCAGCCACAGGTAGAGGCTGCTGGGCTGCTGTCAGCCTGGACCCCGCAGAGGCCAGTCCGTGGCCTGCCACCCACTCCGGACGCGTAGCTTCTCCGCAGCCCCACCGGCATGTTTTGGTGGACTGAGGGGCAGCGTGGTCCCTGCACGGGCTGACTGAGCCATGGTGGTGGCTGCCTGGGGCGGGCTGGAGGCCTTAGTCAGGTCCTGGCAGAACCAAGAGGCGTGGCGAGCCATTGGTGATGTCTGTCCTGGGCACAGGAAGGCAGGTGGGTCCGCACGAGCCAGACACCTGCTCAGTGGACTTGACAGAACCCGTCCCCGGAAGCATCAGGAGCTCGATGTCCATTTCTTCACTCACTGTTTTCCGAGCACGTGACGGCTCCAGAACCCAGGACAAAAATGATTAAGACTCCAAACTGCACAGAGAAGGCGCCATCAGCTTTCCTGTGACACGAGGGGCAACTTTGTGGGCGGATCGGGGTGAGGGCCGGTGGGGAGCCCGTCAGTCTCCGCCTTTCCGTCTGGCCCCGCGAGGCCCAGGCAGGAGTGCCCTGCCCACCAGGGCTGTCCCCGTGGGTTACACACTAGGCAGAGGCACTGGCCATGTGGCAGGGCG